AGATGAATGACACGTTGTAATACTCAGTGTTTCTATGGAAGTTTCCAAGTCACAGTCTCTGGCTGCAGAGAAAATGTACTGCAGACATATAACTCTTCACTTGTCATGTTCTTATAATCTTTCCTGCAGCTCTGCTATCAGCTGCTATTAAAAACTGGATGCAGGACTAGGTACACATCTTTAGTACTACCTGGTGCAGGATTTTGTTCTGTAATGGCATAGTCATATAGTAGCATTACAAGGCCTTGTGCTAAACAAGAGAATTTATTATACAGAAAAAAAGAGAGGGTTAATAAAAGATAGGATCTAGTTTAAGGATGGTCTCCAGTTTCCAGACTACTGTAGAGAGCTGAAAGGCTGCCTGGCAAAATCCTTTGCCCCAAAAGGCAGGACAGGCAGCTCTGGAAATATTTGAACAAATCCATGTATGTAATGAAAACAAACACATTCAACAGCTATTGTAAAAACAAATAAGGACATTCATTCTTGCACAAACTCAAAATAACAGTAAACGGGAAGCAATTTCCATCATACAAAAGCAGGAAATTTCTGTTAATGCAAAATGTTTTTTATGCATGATCATTCAGGAATTCTTTGGCAAATAACTTTGAAAGGTACTTCTTATCCTTGCCAGAAAGTACCTGAAGAAAAAAGCTAATAATGGGGTGGCTATAAACATGATTTGCAAACTGAATACAACCATACGAACCATCTCAAGTTGCAGGTACATTTCAAGTACATTACAAAAATGCACTAAATTTATAGCTATGAATGAACAAAGTAAGCTAATGAAAAAAATAATATAAATTATTAATATAGGGTAGAAGTTGCATCGTCTCTTTTAAGTATTCATCAGCTTAGGACATCAAAGTTAGCAGTCCTGTTTGAAAAAAAAAAAAAAAAAAAAAAAAAAAAAAAAAAAAAAAAAAAAAAAAAAAAAAAAGAGTAGAAGTACCTGCTTTGGAATAGATTCGAGGAACAAAGTTAGCTGGTTAGTTAGCTGGTTAAAGTGGCCACCAAGAACACTCTCGCGGTGAGCTGCAAGCTTCTGTCAACTTCACACTTTAAGGTGATAGTTTAAAGACTTTGCTGGTGTTTTATTTAAAGACATGAAGGCTGTGCCTAAGCTGTTGAACATCTGAAAGATATACTAATATATATATAGTTAGTAGTATTATAAAAGAAGTGGCATACTATGCTATCTCAGATAACTACTACTGAATATTCTTCCAGAAGCAATAAGGACACATACAAAGGGTACCATCTGTTTGGACTTACCAACTCGGATTGACACCGCACATGGATCTCTGCATGTTTCATTCACTTATGTATCAAGTGCCTCACTTTCCCCTATTACAAAACACTGAATGTTCCTTCAGTTTATTTACAGTGTTTATTGTTTTAAAACTGTTTTTAATAGTTTGTAGGCATTGATTGTTTGATTGCTTGTTATTGTAGCAGAAATTTAAATGACCCTGCTACAGAAAAGAAAATCCATCTATCAAAGAAAAATAACCTCTCCTCCCTTGACAGATTCGAAGAGTCAATATATTCAAAACCTACAGTCTAGTAAATCTTAGGAGTTGTTTTTCAGCAGCTTTTTCGGCAGCTTTTTGTTTTTCCTTTTTTTTTTTTTTTTAAAACTGTTCTCAGTTGCTCAACATGCTCTTCATAGTAGCTCCTAGTAAACAAACCAACACATGTAAAACAGACGTGTAAGACAAGGGCTGCCAGAGTTTTCATCACATAATACCACCTACAAAACAGGGAAAAAGTCGAGACCACACAGCAAGGCTCAGGTCAGAAGCGACCGTAGGACCCCACGCATGGTACAGCTCTGTCCTCCTTTAGCTTTTTTGTGTTTTGGAGGTGGAGGTCTCATCTCAGCTCTGCAGGACTGTTTATAGGATTCAATGCCCACTTTTCCACCACCTTTAAAAATGCATATTTGCACAGGGACAGTTGTTACCTGGTACTCTTGGCTCAGGCTGTGCTGAAGGCCTTGCCAGAACAAATAGTTCAGCATATTGGTTTGCTGAGAGCTCCGTGCTTCAGTACCTGAATTTTCCGACTCGCCACGGCACAGGGTAAATAAACCCTTCAGCCACTGCCATCATGATAGTTGGTTACTATTACTGACAGCAAAAACAAGTAAGATGTGCCTTTGCAGATCACATATGAGAGTCTTACAGACTACTGGTGGTCTGCTGACAGCATCTGTGGATTGCCAGAGAAGAACCAGAAATTAGGATGCAGAGTTTTATATCTGTATTTTCTTTCTGTGCTTACAATCTGACTTTGAAGTGCAGCCCAGCATAGATGATACATGCCTGAGGTTGCTTCTTTCTTCAAAAACCCACAGGCTTTATAGAGAAGCAAATTACTACATTCAAATTTCCTCATATTTGAGCGTGCATTTTCTTTTCTACCATGCAAACAACTAGAGTAACAAACCATTACCAATTGTTACCTAAAACATAGATTTCTTTCTCTCAAATTGCCAAGTGAAGATTTTAGAATTTTGAGCATGAGGCTTTTCTACAGAAGTCTGATGCCAGGGCCAGCCCTTGGCTGAAGACCTTTCTAGTTCTAGCAAGTTATTCTAGCTCTAGCTTCCAAGGAGTTCTCAGTAGCACTGTTGTACACATCTTAGCGTCATTTGACTTCCTTTGAGCCTCAATGAACAACATGCAGATTATTTTTTACTTTTTCTATACTTCATATGGAGAACCACACTTTTTGGAGGAGAGGGAAAAAAAGCCCCCCCAACCCTTCTAAAGCAAACTATTGATAGGGAAAAAGCTATGCAATATATTTGTTTTCCATCTTATGTCAGGGCTAATCCCATTTGTGAATTATGCCACCTCAGTGACAGTCATTATCTTCTCTACTTATTCTGGAAAATTTTTGCCTAGAATTTTGAAACTTAAAATGAACAGTTTTTAAATTCACATTTATACAATTAAGCAAACCTAAAACTACTGCCTATTAGAACAGTCTTCTTTCTTAAGCTTCAGTTCAGAACCAAAGTTGAAAATGCTAACTATTCTCATTAACTGAATGCAATTAATGAAAATGGTAAAACTTCAAACACTTTAATTTTTCAAAAATGATCCATCCCAGCAAAGTTACTTTAAAGATTTGTTGCAGCCTTTGAAACAACAAGTCTTACGTGTGGGATGTTAAATTTAATCCTCTCATTATCCTCCCTGTTAGGAAATTCCTACCACAATTTAAACCAAAAACTAGGAGATGACCAAACCACACAGATTTGACCAAGATCACAAAGTAGAGACTTGTTTACAGCCAAGACAGCTCATGCAACAAAAAAGTAACTGAGTCTTTATATATCCCATGGCTAGACCTCATCTCCTCCAACTATATATGCTTTAAAGCAAGAGTTTTGCTACAGTTTTCAAAAGGACAGACTCTTTTCCTTTGCCACCATGGATTTCTAAACGCGTAACAAGATTTTTAGTCTTCTGATAGCTTAAGAGGATTCAGGACCCAATCAGTAGTTGAAAACTATAGAAAAACATCAGGTATGAAATTAAAATTTTAATTTGATCCAACTTTTATCTTTAGAGAAAATTGTTTTAATTTTTGCATGTGCTTTATTTGGAACTGTTAATATAACAGAACTTCCAAAACTGCACTACATTCTTTGTCTTGCATTTCAAAACAACAACAAAAAACAACAACAAACTTTGTACCATCAAATAACACTTAACTAGCTGGCATTAAAACTCAATGTATTTTTCTGATTCATCACTACAAATATATTGCAATTACTGAACAAATAATTACTTCTGTTGTTTAGTATTACTTAGGTTTAATGGTACTATGTAGATATTTAATTATTTACTGTAAAGTACATAGAGGACCATGTAATTTTTATTTTATTCTTTCAACCCTTCCTTTGCAGTTCTATATTCTCTATATAAATACATGGATTTCATTTTAGTTCCGCTGTTGCCAACTACCACAAAATTATTTTGCTCATGACCTCCGGTGCTTTTCTTTATATTCCAAATGTTAAAATCATGCATGACTTTCTCCTTTAACAATGTTCTAGATGCTACAGAGAAAATGCTACAGAAATGCTACAGAGAAAAACTTGAAAAAGTCAAAAAGATCAATGGCTTTGGGAAGCTGGAAGCCAGAAAAGAAATAAAATTTACAGTTGCAATATTTTCTTGAATATAATAATTCCAAGGAACTAAGGCTTAAGAACCAGATATTTCTTTGTGAATAGATTTAGAAACAATGTAATTGTTTTACCAATGCAAAAGCATAATTAAATGCTTCCTTAGAGTTTTCTGATAAATCATTCAGTTAATCCAGAACAGTATCTCAACTTTGACAACAAAAAACTTGCACCTTCTATTTTTTTTTGCATATATCACAGTTGTTCTCCAAGTACCATATAGCAGCAAAAGTAGATAATGATACCTTTTCTTATCCACTTTAAAAACTCTGAGAAATAGTCATCTGTTCAGTAACAACAGCTTATATCTCATGTAATACTTATCTGTCTCATACAAAAATTTATACTCTCTGTTCACCAAAAACATGTTGGAAACTTACTGTGAATCATGAACTGTAATTTCAAAACACTGCATGTTAAAGCCACTGCGTAGCACAAGTATTTTGCAGGAAGCCAATAGCAAAGAGATTATGGAGGAAACAAAAAGTGTAAAATTGAAGATACTTATCAGGACCTTCTCTAGAGCACATACTTTCCTTCAATTTTAATAAGGTTACTTGTTACTTTCTTTTTTTTTTTTTTTTTTTTTTTTTTTTTTGTTTCTTAACTTCATCCTCCAGAGGACAAATCCTTTGGATAACTGAATGAGCATAGCCGAAACCACAAAATGAACTAACAACCTCTGAAATACTTTTGAAGTCTTACTTTTTTTTTTTTTTAAGTGAACTGATAACACTGAAAACGTCTTGTAAATACTTTTGAAGGGATTCTAACAAAAGGATAAATCTCTTCCCAGACTTGTGACACAGCATCAACAATAGCTGATGATGTGGCACAATTTTTTTTTTTACTGGCAAATCAGAAGAGGGGCTAAGGCTATTATTTTGCTTTGCCTTCCCACAAGGCTCCTCACCACAAAATATGGCTTAGAAACATCTTTTGTTCCTCCAGCTGTGTTAGGTTATTGCTCAGATGATTTCATCAGCACACCAAGTTGCTCCCCTCTACAACTTGAGCTTCCCAGACTTCCAAAGAGTAAGTTTTCTTGGTAAGCAGGAACAAAAGAACCAATTGTGTTATTTTTGCAGTTAGGAGTGAGTCATGCATGTTATATAAGTTTTAGATTTCAGCTAGTAAACTGCTTGTAAATACAGTTACTAAGCTTTGATTTCAATTCTGTGATTCTGTGATTTTTTTTTTTACAGATAGCAGACAATCATGCTTTTATGATTTTCTATTTTCTTTCAGCTTTGTAAGTACGCAGTTTGTCACGTTGTGTGCATCTGACTTGCTTCCCCAATTACCAAGTCCCAGCTGACATCATTCTTTGTTTTCAAGATAGTGGGTTCTTAGGTTCTTAGAAATAAGTCATGAAGAATGATTATTATCTCAGTGCTATGAGACTTGAACTGCAAGCTTGTAAAGGGATTAACATTCTACCAAATACACACTCAGCTACAGCTAAGGTATAAAAACCCTACAAAATACAAGCTCCTTTCCCTCTGTAACACCTGCAAGAGACTTTGATACTTATTATTTCTCATTGGACATGTGGTGATTATAGTTCTTCCCTTTACATTGTCTACCTGACAAGTGAATTGTGTGAATGCCTAAGTATACTTTTTCTGCAAACAGTGCAAGACTTTGCACAGTTATTCCTCCTGGTTTCTAAGGACTAATAATTTCTATTCTTGGGGCCAAAAGAATCACAAACTGTGACACCAAGCAGAAGTGCTGAGAAGCTAGAACCAGAAGATGAAGCTAAGTTTCTGGACAGGAAAACCAGGAGTAAGGGAGTAACAGGAATCACAACACAACCAAGAACACGAAACAGGCCAGAAGAACAAATTGCATCCATTCAAGAAAAAAATCAGGTCACAATAGAATTTATATAGGTAGATACCAGCAGCTCTGACAGGGAGTTAGAAATATGGCATAAAGGTATTCTTCTAATATATACTGCCTTAAATCTCAAAAGCTATTAATTCCTCTTGAAGCACAGTATTGCTTCTCTGACCCAGCAAGTGTCTGCAAGGTTTGTCAGCACTGTGCATTTATATCATGCATGTAGGGGTGGGCTGGGTCTTTCGTAGACGTTCCTGCTACTTTTATTAGCTCAGATATATCTGACAATGCTATGGGGATATGGAGACCCTGGCTTTGCCAAGGACCTTCATACAGTGTGGTTCTCAACTAGCTTTACCCAACCCTGTTTTTAAATTTAATGAATTATTGATACTTCATTAAAGGAGCATTACAATACAACTGATGCAAAGTCCAAAATTTGAGTTAGACAATAATACCACAATTGATAACAAGCACCCATCATTGCGCACTGTCTTGTATGCAACACAGGAGGATCGGGAGAAAGTATGCAACTTCAGAGTTCTGTTACAACTTTTGAAAGACTCCCTCTCTCCTTCAATTCATTGAACACATCATGCTTTGGGAATCAGTCAGCACTATGAAACAGTGAATCTCGTCTCTTTTCTTACTGTTTGACTGTGCTTGGTAAAAGAAATGACTACTAAGGATATTAACAAAAAAGAGAGTCTCATGATTAAGAAATATGAATGTCATTATAAGAAAACTGAGATTATTTGTTTTTCTCTGTCTTGGGGTTCCCACGCTATACTGAGTGATGTCTTTTCAATGATCCGTGTTCTTTGACCAGCAATGTTACATTCTGACTCACCCACTGTCTAAATTGTACAGCTTGACCCGATTCACAACTCCAAATTGACCAAATAATAGGATTCTTTTGACTGCATAAAGTGCTCTAAAATGTTACTCTGGCTTTGAGCATCTGAACTTTGACATGCAAAATTATTTGCCAATAATTGTCTTTCACAATATCAGTACTTCACCTCCGAAGAGTATTGTGAATGCAGTTTACGCATATAAAGAACATACAATTACAGAAGCATAGGAATTCTACAAATAAAACAGCTCATCAATGAAGATTTGACATCATGTGCGATACACAATCGTTGAAATCAAATATAACAATGGGAACAGGGAAAATAAATTAATGCATTTTACTAAACCACCCATGCTTTGCAGAAAGTAGAAAAACAACGTAAAATGCCACGGAACATACAACCACCAATACCATACTAATTTTAATTTTCTTTTTTCTTTTTTTGAATATAAAATACAACATTTCAAACTATATTTTATTGTTGTATTTATAGAAACAATGCTACACTTTTTTCTGCAGTTACTTCACCCTAGGTGTGAATATGTGTATCTTTATGTATCTTTAACAGTAATAGCTGTCTGCTCATAGCAAGAGCAACAGACGCAAGCATGGCCTGGAGGTTCCATCAGACTAGCAAACTTCCTCACAAGGAGGGCAGGATAGCACTAACTTGGGTTGTTTAGAGAGATGTTAGATGTTAGAATTCCACTCCAAAGTTTTTCAAGGCTCACCTAAGGTCTAGGCTGATGTAATCCACTGTTGGAGATGGACACACTTTGAACAGCGTGCTGGACTACACTGTCTCCCCACGTCCCTTCCCAACAACGTTTCTATGATATTGGCCACACAACACTGGTGCTGTGCAAGTTCCTAGTGAGAGAACTCACATTTTAAATATCAGTTGTTTTCATCTTCAAATAGTTTCATAAGGTTACACAGGTGTTTTCAAAGGTCTGAGAAATAAACATTCCATGGGAATTTCATCTGCACCCCTTTAAAGCTGAATTGTAAGGCTGATGTTTAACCCGTTAAACTGGAAAGAATGCAGCATCTAAGCTGTCTAATACAAACACCGGTCTGTACCATTTCACGTGTGGTTTTTTTTTTTTGCAACTTATCCCATTTTGATGTATGGCAGAGAAGAAGGAAGACTGGGATCATTTTTCCTGCTACTTCTCAGAGATGTTATGGTACCCCTCAGTAAAAGACACAGCACAAGTAGAAAGTTCTTCCTTATCCAAACTGAAAGAAAACTTACATTTACTTCAAGGCCAGTATAGTTGTTTATGGCAGTTTCTTGGAAGATCTGAATGAAAAATTGCTTTTGCTGCTGTGGTGGTTTTACCCTGCTGGGCAGCGGAACTCCACCACAACCACTCTCACTTCCCCTCCTCAGAAGGAGAGGGGGAGAAGAAAGTATGCTGGAAAGGAAAAAGAAAAAAGAAAAAGCTCACAGGTTGTGATAAGGATAATTTAATTAAAGGGAAATGGAAAAGAGAAAAAAGGAAACAAAGGCTGTGCACAAACACAAAGAGAAATGTTATTCTCTACTGCCCATCAGCAAGTGATGTTTGGCCACATCCTAGGAAGCAGGGCCTCAATACCTGTAGTGGTCATTTGGGAAGATGGATGTCTTCATAATGAGAGACCTGCCCCCACTTCTTCCCCTTTCCCACCCTTCTTTGCTGAGTGTGACCTCGTATGATATGGCATACCCCTTTGGTGAGTTTAGGTCAGCTGCCCACCTCTTGCCCACCCCCAACCTACTGGTTTTGGGGGGGATTGGAGAGGGTCTTCAATCAGCAGTGTCAGCAGTGCCCACTGGGAGACCAAACACGGGTGTGATACCAGGGCTGTTCGAGCTGCAGGTGCAGACTACAGCACCATATGGGCCTGCAGGGAGAGGCAACTCCATCCCAGCCAGACCCAGTACAGCTACTAGTGCCACTGACAGTGCTCCCAAGAAAATACATTATTCTGCTTATTTACATTAGTTTAATACTACTGCTTCTTAAAACTGATAAGGTTGTATGTCATTTAGCTTATGACTATCTGGTAAACTTATTTTTTCCTTCTCATCAACAGAATACAACATACAATTTTAAATATGGGGATTCTGAGCCAGCTATCAATCATTTACCTCCTGTGGACTGCTATGGTCTTTTGTCAATACGAAGACTATGATTTTGGGGATGAATATGATGACGAGCCAGATCATCAGCATTCCTATTATTTTAATCCAAGTCCACAAGCTGAAGTTCCCCGCTTTCCTGTTCCAGTCGAGTGTGCCAGAGAATGCTTTTGTCCACCAGCTTTTCCACTATCAATGTACTGTGATCACCGTAAACTTAAGATGATACCAAATATCCCTCCTCACGTCCAACAACTCTATCTGCAAAACAATGATATTGAAGCTGTACCTGCAGGACCGTTCACTAATGTTACCATTTTAAGAGAAATTAATCTCAGCCACAACAAAATTAAATTTCATATGATTGACCATGGCGTTTTTGCCAAACTGTCACATTTAGTGCAGCTTCATTTACAGCACAATGAATTAGAAGAATTTCCATTCCCACTCCCAAGCTCTCTGGAGCGACTGCTCCTTGGTTTCAATAAAATTTCTCAGTTATCCGGAAATGCATTGGAAGGATTACCAAACATAACCATGCTTGACCTTTGCAATAACTTTCTTGATGACTCCGTACTCAAAGGAAAACGCTTTTCAGTCATGAAAAATTTAATGCAAATCAACTTATGCAATAACAAATTAGAGACTATGCCTCCTGATCTACCATCATCACTTATGTATCTCTCTCTTGAAAACAACTCGATTTCTTATATTCCAGAAAACTATTTCAGCAGACTTCCAAAAATCATTGCTCTAAGAATGTCCCACAACAACCTGCAGAACATTCCATACAACACCTTTAATCTACCTAACCTTTTAGAACTTAATCTTGGACATAACAAATTGAAACAATTATTCTACATTCCAAGAAGTCTGCAGCATTTGTATATTGAAGACAATGACATTGAAAGTATGTTGATGTAATTCTTGAAAAGCAAAAAATGTAGTGGATTTTGGGGTTGGTTGTGAAGAGTGGGATCAGCATACTTTAACAACCAGAATTCAGCACTTTTAAGCTAGATAAAACCCACCACTTTTGTTGTGTCCTTGGTTTTGAGGACCTGCCACTTTACAGCTCTCAGGTCACTTATAAACCAAGCACAGTAGTCAGCTAAATTTACATGTTTCTCAAGAGGTACTGTGATTCTCCTCTTTGCAGACTGATGAGCTTGAGCCATTAGTGTTCTGAACTAATGAGTTCACATGGCCTTGACCCAAAGTTCATATGCAATGTACCTCTCAGGAGTAAGTGGTTCCATGCAGCTTTTAGCTTACAGTGTAGAAAGAATATCAACCCATCTTCTTCAAGCTGGAATGTAAACACATCCTTGGTTAGCTGAGACCTACCAACAGTAAACTAGAGGGAATTTCATTTTTCCATCTTAACTATAATTTCAATATAGATATTTTGCAAATATTCTGTATTTTTTTCATATAATTAGCTAAGTTCCCTTTGAAACTTGCTTCTGATAAGACAATTAATAAAAATCACATACAGGGAAAAGGAACCACAAAAATATTCCATTAATATAAACTAGTAATTACAGATTTTATATATTCATATACATATATTTGTTTACCCCACAACCTTATATTTTGTAAATTCCAAAAGTGTTATCACTGTAATTTAAAAAACTGATTAAAAACAAAGGACAACTTTGTTAATGTGTAAAACAAAGTATTTTCCATTTTAAACTCCAAATTTCAATTTTGTAATTGTTCTTAAATCTAACTATTTTCTGTATTTTAATGAACATTTTTCTCTCTTACAGTGATAAATGTTACTTTGATGTGTCCATCTATTGATCCAATGAACACCAAACAATTAACGTATATACGGGTGGACCAAAATAAGCTAACAACTCCAATGAGCACGTATGCCTTCTTCTGCTTTCCTCACATTAGAACCATTTATTATGGTGAACAAAACAGTAACGTCAACAAGTCAACTCAACTAAGAACACCAGTGTTTCGCCGATTATTAACACCAGAAGAATATGATGAAGCAGAAGATGATCATGAAACACATGATCAAGAAACTGAAGAAGATCGTGAAGAAGAAAACAACTACTTTTATCCTTATTTTCAGTGAAAACATCTCTGTTAATGAGTATACATGGAAACTTTTGCTTACTTGTGGGGTACTTGTGTCCATTTCAGAACATCTGGATAGTTTGGGGTATTTAAGATACATTTATATAAAGTGGAGATATAGGATTTCAGTGTACATAAATATGACATTACTGGTGTAGTAAAAGCCATAATACTGGTAGCAAAGTACACTCATGTCAGCATTTAGTAGCAGTCTGATATATAACCTGAGGTAATGATGGACTCATCTGAGGGTTGGCAGTCTAAGCAAAAGAAAAGTGACCTGAAAAAGGTTTGTATGTTCTAAAGTGATTCATCTTGCAAAATGTTTATACCAGATCAACACAGTGCTCAACAGGAACATGTGGATAACGGCAAAAATCCGTCCAGCTAGACATTCTACTATTATTCTACTATTCTGACAGCAGTAAAAAAAGACATATTAGAGAAAAACATATGTTACATATGTTACAAAAACACTTTCCTGCACATCTTCCAGAAATACAGATGTTGCTTCTTTCAATATCTAGATGGACAGGAAACTCACAAACATGGAGTTCCAAATCTTTTTAATATTTGTTTCCAGTGTTTTGCCAAGATATATTATAATACTTATTCCTCAGCTTGTACCTTGACTATAACAAGTCTTTCAAAAAGCAGATTTTAGTTGTTTATATAGACAATGAACAACCTCTCTTCAGTGATCTTAGGATGTTCATTAATATAACTCTCAACCATCAGTATTTAAGTATCAGTATTTAAGTTTTACCTATACTTTAGAAGGCATTGAAAATTTAACACTTTTTGATTAGAATTGCTCATCAGCTAGAACAGGCACAAATAGTGGCATTCCAGACTTTATTAAGACCATCCCTCTGCATAGATGATACCAGTAAGATATATTCTGCTTCGAAGTAGAAAAAAATTGCTTAAAGTAACCCACAGAAAAGTAATATATACTGTTTGAACTATGGAAGTTTATTGTTATGTTATATGCCTAGAAAGAGTTGCAAATCACTACAGTATAGGATACTATTAGAGGGCACTTCAGCCTTTTTTTATTAGTAGTATTAGTATTAATTACCCCCCTCCCCCCCCCTTTTTTAAAAAAAAAAATTCAGCATTTCATTTCCTGATAAACCTTTGTTAGTAGTGAGGAAGAATCACCATTTCCACAAGAAAAACTAATGAGCGCGATAAACTATATATCATACTCCCAATGTGATATTATACTTTAAGTCTAGGGAAAATAAAAACGCTACATAAAATTACAAGCAAATTTGTATTAGAATTTCTAAAAAGTTGGTCAGTTTTCTTTCTTATAAGATCAGTTTTGTTTTGATATTTTGTCCAAAATATACCTTCTTGGTATATTTTGGATTCTGATACAAGAATTAATATACTAACAAATGAAAAAAATCAGTCATGCATCTGTACCTTTGAATGGAGAGAAATTCCTCATAAGCCCATGAATATACCCCAGTCTTTAAGAACAACTGCTTATAAAGATTTATACATACAAAATTTATTATATCATTATCAACTTGGAATCTTATGTTGTCTCACTTAAGAAATCTTCTCTCCTCTCTACCCCTTTTTCTCTTGCATTTTATGAACAGATACATTTATGGCAAAGTATTTTTATGGTAGCTACACAAATTTGTAAATGTGTAGCTAGAACTCTACAGAATTTATCTTCCTTTATTAAAAAAATAGTTTATTAACATTTATCAGCTTCAAGAACCTCTGTCTTCCTTAAAGAATAATATATAAATGTATTCATTATAGTATTTAAATGCTCTCAAAAAACAAATTTATATTATATACACAAATTTAAATATATATGTATGTATGGTTTTATTAATATAAACTTATAGTATATTATCCTTAGGGAATTGTTATAACTTTTCATCTCTTTCAGATTGTAAGTGTAAAAGAACAGTGCACAAAATACAAATCTAAATTAACTGACTCTTTTGAAAGTCTTGCTCAACCTTAAAAAACACTATTCAAATATAATAGTATTATAAATCTTTTATCATAAACTTTCTGCTTAGCTTTATTTTTAAAGTAGCTTTAAAGACAGACTTTTAGTAACTAGTTGCATGTTTCTTGTAGTTTAAACATAAATCAAACTGATAATATAGTTCTAAAGTTTTCAGTAATTATTACATTAAATTCATTCACATAGAACATGAAAATTGTATTATAAGCAGAACCATCATAATTCATATTTCATTCTATTAATATTATATCCTGTGTGGCAAATACAATGCTATTTTTTAGAAAAGATTTCAGGATGGTCAGGGAACTAAAGACCTGCTAGCCCTATGTCTATATTAGAGAGAGAAGTTATCGTGAAGTTCAGAATCAACTGACACCTAGATAACTACAGTTGACATTGGTATGAGTGGACATGGCATCTGTGAAAGGATGTTCTACCTTGCAAATCTCTTCGAGTTTGTTGCGGGAATCACGAAAGGTGTGTACAAGAGAGATCCTGGTTCAAACTGCCTACCATTAATTTCTGAAGAATTTTTGAGGAAATCAAGCTGCCACAGACTGAGAGGTGACAGCACAGACAAAACCAAATGAAATATAGGAAAGATTAAAAGCATTAAAGTTAAGCAGTCACGTCTTGTTGTGGAGGAAGTCCATTTGCAGGAGTTTTGCAAAGGGCTGGTGCCCAGCAAATTGGGGTGATCTGAGAGATGACAACAAAGATTGCTAAGAGATGAAGAAGAATGACCCGCTACCAGGATGCTAAAATAGTAAATGAAATTCAGCATCATTAAATGTAAAGTAATGGTTTTGTGAAAAGATAATATTAGCTTCACCTAAAAGCTAACAAATAATGACTTGAGTACCATCACTCGGGAGCAAAACTTGAAAGTAACAATAGATGGTACCACAAAAGCACTGACTAACACCAGACACCATTATGCCACTGACCCAGACATTTAACATGCTGGAGACTTCTGACCCCTTGAGCTACCCATAATCTTTACATATGGCATAATCAGCAGAGGATTAGAGAGAGATTGTAAGGGCACCAAAGGTAAGGAATGGTTTCTATATAAACAATATTAAGTTGGCTGGGACTCGCCAGCTAAGAAAAGAGATGGCTAAGGGGAAATAAAAGAGATGTTTACAAGATTATGAGTTGCACACACACCATGGGTCCAGGGATCAACTGCTCCAGTGCAGGAGCAAGGAGGTATTAAAGAAAGCTGGCATGAGTCAGGTATAAGCCAAGCAGAGGAAAAGAAGTTTGCAGGCGATGTGTAGTCAGCTCGTTAAACTGCGTGCCTAAGAACACAGTGAACACAGCAACCCTTTCACATGTGGTTTTAAGGGAAGACTGGATAAGTAACTGTGTTTCTTGGAAGAGATTCACTGCAGGTTGTTGGGCAGAAAGCACAGTAGATGCAGAAGTGCTGAGCAGAAAATAGTTGGCACATGGAAGAATATTTGTAAATGGGAGTAGAGAAGAATGATATATGCTTGTTTTATTCCCAGTCTTCCCAGGGTACCTGCTTCCAGCTATTTTTGGAGACAGGACACTGTACGCTAATTTGTTTGGAACTCCATGTCCAAACTACATACCCACTACATTCTCACTGTCTTTGACTGTGGTTAGCATGCTTCCATTGCTCCTCACTACTGCTATATGCTTAAAGCCTTAATATATTTGCATTTTTAATATATTTGATCTTGATCCTCAATATGAAATATATTTGATTCGATCCTACTTTGATCTGGATAGGCTGCACCGATGGGCTGAGGTCAACTATATAAAGTTCAACAAGGCCAAGTGCCGGGTCCTGCACCTAGGGCACAACAACCCCAAGCAGAGCTACAGGCTGGGAGATGAGTGGTTGGAGAGCTGCCAGGCAGAGAAGGACCTGGGAGTGATGGTGGACAGTCAGCTGAATATGAGCCAGCAGTGTGCTCAGGTGGCCAAGAAGGCCAACGGCATCCTGGCTTGTATCAGAAGCAGTGTGGCCAGCAGGGCTAGGGAGGTGATCGTCCCCCTGTACTCGGCTCTGGTGAGGCCGCACCTCGAGTACTGTGTTCAGTTTTGGGCCCCTCGCTACAAGAAGGACATCGAGGTGCTTGAGCGGGTCCAGAGAAGGGCGACGAAGCTGGTGAGGGGCCGGGAGAACAAGTCCTACGAGGAGCGGCTGAGGGAGCTGGGCTTGTTCAGCCTGGAGAAGAGGAGGCTCAGGGGCGACCTTATTGCTCTTTACAGATACCTTAAAGGAGGCTGTAGAGAGGTGGGGGTTGGTCTGTTCTCCCACGTGCCTGGTGACAGGACGAGGGGGAATGGGCTAAAGTTGCGCCAGGGGGGTATTAGGGTGGATGTTAGAAAGAACTTCTTTACCGAAAGGGTTGTTAGACATTGGAACGGGCTGCCCAGGGAAGTGGTGGAGTCACCATCCCTGGAGGTCTTTAAAAGACGTTTAGATGTAGAGCTTAGGGATATGGTTTAGTGGAGGACTCTTAGTGGTAGGTCAGAGGTTGGACTCGATGATCTTGAGGTCTCTTCCAACCTAGAAATTCTGTGATACTTGAATTTTAATTCACTTTAAGCACTGTGTTTATATACCAAGGCATACGCAAGTTCATTAAATTTGGGAACAGCATGTCTGCAATGCTGCATGTTGCAGTGCTCTGTAGCAGTCACCCATACTGATTCAGGTACACAAAGCAGCCTAGCCACAGGAGTGTGGAGCTCTGTATAAGCCAAATTATCCCACTAGAGAAACATACACATTTTGGTGTCAAAATGTATTTGCTTGGTGCTTGCTCTGGTGTTTATTTTCAGAATATTATATGGTCTTTTTTTCAGTAGGGAATAAACTTAAACTAAGAACTAAACATACATTAAAACGTTACTTATTTTATCAGTGACAGTTGAACCTAACAAGTGTCAAAGAGTCTGATTAGTTTATTTACAGCAGAGTCAGTAAATATGGAAACAAAGCCTGAGCTGGCTTATAGCACTGTCTCTGCATTAGCAACTAAGGACTGGAACCATACAGCACAGTCTGCTTCAGACTAGCCACTTCAGACTAGCCACTGATTAAAATTCATTAAAAGCTGCAGCACATCAGGTGCACCCCTGAGTATATACATGTTCAGGTTTGTTACGTCTAGAAAGAATCAAGTTCACATAATTCGAAGTCCTATGGGATATGACAGCAAGCCTACAGCAAGTAGGGCTTATCAGAAGATTCACTTCAAAAAATGCACTATTTAATTAAAATAACAGCAGAAACATAGCCAGAAAAACAATAACTGATAAACATGGACAAACTGTTCAGAGCTGTGTCTTCCAAGTCATATCTTTGTAAACAAAGATGGAACCTTCTTGAAATTTAAGCTAAGTATTATGAGCAGTATCTATAGTGCATAAGAATAAGCAAGGCAGTAGTAGAACCTTGCAGAATGTTTTGATACCCACACAACCCTACAGGGAAAACCTCATGGGTTTCTGGAAAACAGTTATGACTAGGCTTTAGTTCACAGAATTCAAGTTCTCAAAATTACAATATAACTTCTTCACTACATCTATATGCCACAAGATGTAGTTATTATGAAAAATCAAAATAAAAAAGAAAGAACAATAGTCTAACCCAACCATTTATATTTCTTCCTTTAGTCTCAAAATAATAGGAACTTGTTTTATCTTTTTCTGGCTCTTGCATTTTCATGCTCATAAACCTTAATTTTTCAGATATTTACTTCAGTATTCTGATAAATTACATGGACAAAAACTCCTTTATAGCCAACAGATGGTTTGCATTTCAAGCTTTCTGACTTCTTTGAACATATTCACATTCCAGTCTTTCAATATGAATCAATTTCCTTCTTAGTTTCTGAACTTGATCATTGCAAGCAATAAACATAGGAATTTCCTACTTGAAAAAAAAAAAAAAACATACATTTTTTATTTTAAAAAATTATTCACCAAAATAGAATTTCAGGATTTCAATAATTTTCCAGTGCTATCCCAATTCTTTGCATAAATTCAGCATCCACAAATAAAAAATAAATTAACTAGCCTTCCCCTATTATAATGCACATGAGAAAGCAAAAATAGATAAACATGAAGACTAACCTTAAATACAAAGAGTAAAGTAGGTACTATGAATAAGGTAAGGAACACATGACAGGAACATAAAACTAAAAAGAGGTGTCAGGGCACTGAGTCTTGGAGCCTCATCTCTAGTGTCCCTGTAGATGTAGCAATGGCTCTAACCAAATTATATTGTTATAAGTAAGCCACATCAATTCTGGAAGGAATTCTAAGCAATTTCAATAAATCAAAGTAGATTGGTTTTCATTCAGGATGTAACTGATGATAAACAGGCAAAGTTCAAGAGATAATAACTTCAATATATTCACCCATGGATCTGGGTGAATAGCAGACAGTACTGTTACTCTTGATATCATTTGTATTTATTAACAATAGTTTGATTTCTGATTACCATCGTGCACAATTTTTAAGATGTGCTTTATTAATGTAAGACACAGTAACTGACACAAGGAGTCTGTTTCTCTTCCAAAAATGGAAATGCAAGGAATAAAGGTAGTGTCTTCAGCTTTAAAAAATTCTGATTATAAATAAGAAACATATGGAAGGATGCTCGTACAATCACTAGGTCATTTTTCAACCGTTTCTCTGTTGCAGCTGGTTGCTCTGACAGTGACCTTAACCTAATCCAATTCACTGAGCCTTGGAAACCGTTGTAACTTTTCATAAAAGCACTGGATGTGTTTATGCATAAATTCTTATCTCTGATACTTCTTTGGTCATTCTGAATCTTTAAGAGTACTCCAAGTTCTCTTTTTAAGACATGATAGCCATTTACTGCAGATTTAATACCATCTCTAAAACCTCCCCCATCCCCCCAGGATGCTGAAGTGAAATATACTTTCTAAATATTACACAATATCTCTTCTATAGCAATACCTTCAACCCAATTTCTGTGCATTTCTTGAGAAGAAGCCAGGAGGCTGCTTCTTCCCTTCTGGATACTCCAGCACTTTGTTCCCAGAATGAATGCAGCCCAGCATGAGCACAAACTGCTTTACAACTAATTTTACACTCGTGTGTCAGGACCTCAACAAAGAGCAGAGAGGGACACAGGAGTCACAGGGCAGTTCCATAGCACATATACACACAGCAGTCAAGGCACATAGTTGTTCTGTTGGAGGCTCTTATAATTATTCCAACCCAGAGCATATGGCTTATCACACTTCATATAAAAGACATACAAAGAAATATCAGTGCTTTTGCTCCATGTAGGACGTTGAAAAAAAAAAAAAAAAGACTTCTAGAAGAAAATCTAGCATTGCATCTAGGTCTATAAACCCTGAGATGTCTTTAGAAGCTTTCTTACGTTGTTCCTGTGTCTTTCTATCCAACAGAAGAGACATTTTTTTTAAAAAAACAATGTGATTTCTAGTGTTCATTAGTCATGAGGAATCTAAGCAATAATCCATAATTTGTTCTTCCAAGAACACTTAAAAACAATAAAAAATGGGAAACTATACAACTTGCCAATATTGTCCTTTAGAGACTATGATAGATGATGAAAGCCAAGGTCTTTAAGCAGCTGTAAAAATACATCTTTGCCTAAATATAGAACAAACCTGAGTGTTTAAAAGTAAATTCAGCTTTGGTTTATTTCATAAGGAGTATCTTGACAGCAACCCAATGGCACTCTCCCTACTGCTGCTGCCTCAGAGCCCTCTCTCTTAACCCACGTACCTGAGCAATAAGGCCCCTTTTTTTGTTTTCCATCTATTAATTTTTCCTTCTTCCTGGTATCCCGCCTCCTATCACACAGTCCAGAGTCATTACACAGTTCTGGTCCCTGCTACAGGCACCCTGGCGAAGCCATTTTCAACCAGCAGCCATACAGAAGGCAAAGACTTCCCCCTCTGGAATGCAGCTCTTCAGCACGCTCAGTTCTCCAGCACCTTGCGGAGGTTTACCAGGAGCAAGACAAGTGTCTCACAGAGAATTAGCAGCAATCAGCTCCTGGTTCCATTTTAAACAGGAAGAAGTACAGAAAAGCTTTCTTCCAACATTTTTTTTTACTAAACTACTGAGTATTAAAGAATTACTAAACATCATTATGGCAAAGTAAGGTACTTAACACGCTAACATGTATGAGAACTGCGTTTTGCTGAAAGCTACCAAAAATGAAGAGAACTGCCCTCCCTTTGGTGTCATTTTCTCTGGCAACATACACTGGGTAAGAACTGTTTGTGACAGCTTTTACCATATGCCCTTGAATGATTAGATTTTAAGGGAAACTTTGGTTTCTTTTTTATCTGCCTTGGGGAAAAGCAAGAGCAGAAAAAGTAGTCAGCCTGAAGCTCTGAGCAGGTCATAAGATATGAGGCCACTCCAAGTACAAGATAAATAGACTGAACTGAAAATCAGCCAGTTCAAATGACATGCAAAACCCACTTTTGTCTGCCTGCAAAACAAAAATCTTTCTTCTGTTCCTCTGGGATATTTTCAGCTTTATTTTTTTTATTTTATTTTTTACTTTACCTTTGTTTGAGATTAAACACTCCTAAATACTAGATTGCTTCCAAGATGCCAGAGAAGATGCAATCAGCAATGTCTCCTGCAGTTTGGAAAAGCTACCTTTGTTTGCTTTCCTCCTGCCATCCATACTTACCCAGCTTCTCACTTTTTCTGTCCTGAAAGCCTTTTAATCTTCATTCTCTCTTTGATACAGGGCAACACCGGGGAACAAATTTTACACTTACTCTGTATGCAACCCTTCTTCCAGAAAGTTAAGTTTTTCTAAAAGCAGAATCTAGAGATTGAGTGTTCCTTGTTAGACTGACTTGTCGCTCCTCCACTATAAATAAAAATGTGTGATATTTCATTTACACTTCCAGCTACATTTCATGTCCTTACAAAACTGTAGGGACATTATTACCATTCAAATTTCATCCAGGTTTCCATTTTACAATTAGAAAAGCAGTCATTTTATGTGCATGACATTTGAAGTGAAGGTATTTTGTGGGTAAATCAGTTTGTGAAAATGAGATAGCACAGGTTAAAAAAATAAGTAAGGCACACCTGACTAACCAGAAACAATACCTTAAATAATCTCTCAAGGCCATCTTGGAAAACTGGAGCTCAATTCAATAACAGAGCTCGTTTAGCATTTCAGAAAAGAAATTACCTTCTAAATGTATAGATCCTTATAACTAGGATCCAAATAGATACCTATATGTAAAACATCTACATGTTGAAAACGTCTGAAAAGCATTCTCTGCTTGCCAGGGTGAGTACTTCCTGGTAGCTTCCCTATTGCTAATGCACAGACCACATTTTTCATTTCAGATGATTTGAGTTCTAGGAGCATTTCAAGTCATTCTGAGCAAAAACAAAGCAGCCCTGATGCTGAAAGCAGCACTACCATCCTTCCTTATTATCAGCCACTTGTGCCATCCACTTCCTTATGCTGAGTATTTGTTACATAAATACAGATAATAGCAACAACAACAACAAAAAAAACCACTTGGTTTTATCTGAAATTAGTTGTTGATACCTTATTTTTCCTGGCACATTGGATGACAAGCAGATGAATTACAGGACAGGACTACTACCTTATTTGCCACTACCAGTTTAAAGTGATAGAAAAATCTACCGTAAGGTAAGCCTTGATGACATCAAGATGAACTAATTACCTGACATACTCAGAACAGTGAGTATGCACACTACACAACTTTTTGTGTTATGTGTACCTGTGAAATCTTTTGATACTGATTAACAGACTTGAAAATTTCTTCTGCAGAAGCTATTGCAGAAGTCTTCAAACATTATACATCCTCTTCTCTTGTAGATCCAAGCAGGTAAGAGCTTTCTTGCATTAACACATTTTCAATGCTTTGGTTATCTAGTAAGCATCCCTTATTTTTAATAGTATGTGGGGAAAAATAGGCTATTCCATATACATTATATGCATACACATATACATACTGTGAAAGCTTCACAGGACTTCCGTACTTATAAAACAAATACAGTTCCAATGTTATGTCATGCTGTCAGTTTCAATACTCAGTATTTTCACCTTAGAATATTTACCCTTTGATTACATGCAAACACTGGAGGAAAAAAAAAAAAAAAAGGATTTCCAGAGCCAGATGCTGGCTGGATATTCAGTGGGGTGGGGAGGGGAAACAGCTGGTTGGAAAGAGATCAGCTGCAAAGAAGAGGTGCTATTATTACTCCTGAAATATGCATGAGACCATGGGAGATGATAAGGTGGAATTGATATGTTGCAACTTTTCTGCCTTTTCCCCAGTGAATCTACTTTTTCTGGTAGGTAGCAGTCCTTTAAACTAAGTTCCTACATAATGCAGTGGAAAACATATTATTATCCTAGCCATAAAACCTCAAAACTTTTGGTTTTCTTACTGTTCTACCTGAACAGCAATCAGAATGATTCAGAGTCCAATTTCCATTATTACTGACATTGTTCCCTTTATATTTTTAGTTATATGCTTACAACCAAACCATTATTCTAGAGCAAGCTGCAAGTCCTAACTACAACATTGTTTAAACTGCATATGAACTAAAACTTTTTTTTTTTTTAATAAAAGCCTAATAAGTTCAGAAAATTGCAAGTGATTATAAACTGGAAAAAAGTTTAGACAGCAAATGGCTATTGCCAATCTACAATTTCCATATTTACTAACAACATCTGGTTTTAAACAAGACAGAACTTCCAAGAAAATCTATCCAAATAGGTCTACTGTTTATCTCCAACATTATCTAGCTGATAGCGCTATCATATATACATATATATATATATTTAAATAAAGTCATTAAAATATTAATCTGAATATCCCCCTGATAAGTTTTATTGCTACACATTTTTTAAACACTTAGAAAAGCTACTTCGTAAACTTACAAGTTGGTCATCTGGCTCCCATTTATACAGACTGCCAAAAATACATAATAAGGAAAAGGATGGGGGAGGAAGAAATGCATTACAAATCTAGAATACCACTGCTTCTACTTCATAGGAAAATTCTACACCTGGATGGTATTTACTAAGCTATCTATAGAACTGAAACAGAACTTCACTTGAAACAAGTATTTATTATGAAACAATTTCTAAATAAATTCTGTAATAAGTCTTTTAGTTAAGAATGTAGATATGGATTACTCGTCTGAAAATCTCAACACATCCCCCACCCTGCCTCCAAACTCTAAAAAGTATTTTTTTGTTTCCAGAACCCTTCACACAGAACAGTTTCCACTTCTTACCTAGGTGAAACTTCTCTAAACATATACAAGTTGTACTGAAACATTTTATCAGTCATAAAAATGTGACTAATACATTATACATATGTTTTGGCTGTACCTCTGTCTCAGTCAGAAAGCAGCTGCTTTGTCTCTTAGCTAAACCATTAAACAAAATGGGTAACACATGCCTTGTTAGAGACCTCTAGTTTGCACAATTAATATTTGATTTGGAGAAAAAGCCTTAACAATTATAAAGAGTAAATCACCACATAGCAGAAAACCAACACTTTAGCAAGTGGGATGAACTAGACAGATTTAACATTTACAAATGTTATTCAAAGTACAACCCCCTGCTCCAGGATATTACCTCTTACCCTAGGGACAGAATGCTGGCAAAGCATTTTTTACCCCATGGAAAGCACTTTTAAGACTGTCAATCCTGGAAGAAGTATTCATTGCAGCATATGTATTTCATAACTTTACTTTTTTATCAGTCTACTTTGGGTTAACATATACATAAGAATATCTGGTTTTAGGACACAATCACAGAACTTGGAATCTACTAAAACGGTAGGTGGACATTTTTTCCTAAAAGAATATTAACTTAAAGTATACTAACCTAATGCTTAAGAAAAGCACTCAATTACAACAAGCAGGAAAATATGCTGTGCAAATATTTAATTTTAAGGAGTATTGCATATGTATTTAAAATGCTTTTAAATTAAGTTTGTAGCCTCCAAACAAACCCCAGTTGTGTACTCTGTGGTGTGTGTGTAAAGTTATGTTGTGCAATTTACTTTCACATGTAAAGGCAAGAGCAATGAGAGAATGATTTTCAAACCTAAATGCCTTATAACAAATATCAATATCTTGACAGCAGGGAAAAACCTCTCTTGGTTTGATTGATTCAGGTTCGTACGTGCCAAGTGTTTTGTAAACTGCTTTACAAAATCCTCCTGACGTTACCAAAAGCACTACTCTGGGAAACAAGCAAATGGAATTAAGATAATATTTTCCCTTACCAGTTGGAAAAGGCTGTTTGTTATTTCCTAGTTTCTCTTCACGTTAAGAACAGTTTTTATAATACTGGAGTCTAATTAAAGAATACCAAGAGTTAAAAGTTGTTCCATGTTCCTTATGCGTTAGAAACCCCTGCCAACTAGTTCTCTAGGCTTTAAATATTGTTTTGACGGATTGCATTTTCATTTCCAGTCACAAAGAAAGTATTCTCCATAGTCAACACACTAGCAGATCTTCATCAGCTCTGTGCAAGCCAGATACACTGTTCTGTGAGAAAATGAAGACTTTGCAGCCTGCTTTTTTTCTGTTTGTGTTTGTACCTTTGGTGAAGTCAGCACCACCTATACAGCAAGAACCATTCAAGTTTTATGACTATGATACAGATGTTACCATGGGAAGCCTGATCCACCAAGATTATGAAATACAGTCCAAGGATATAAAAAAGGTATTTATCTTATCAGTTTAATATTTTAATTGCTAAGCATTATATGAATGAATAAGGTGTAACATGCATGTATGCAAGTTTTATGGAGAAGTCTTACAATAATGGCAAAACATACAATAGTTTCAGATATAAGGGAAATGCACTCCAATTAAAACCACAAAAATACTACCCTTGCTACAATTTGAGAAACCCTCATAAGACTTGCTTTTGCAAGTAAGAATGTAGCATTTTAAACTCTGCTGTAGTTATGTACCTACTATTTTCAAGTTTCATGAAGCGTATGTACTAGCACGCTAGCTAAACAGTTTGAGTAATGTATTAACAAAATAAGTTTAAATTAAAAGCAAGGAGGGTGATTTTATTTAGTTGTGTGGTTGTTGTTATTTTTTATTAAAAAAAAAAAAAACACACTTGAAACAGTGCTTTTTATTGTATGTAACCTGTCATTATAAATCAGTTTTCCTTTGATTCAAACGATTACTTGGTGGTTGGTTTGTTTGGTTTTTTTTGCCCTTTTTTTCCCCTGGTATTTTTGCTACTTGACAGTTTAGCAGTCCTAAGCTACTACAGAATGTCCAGTCCTGTTGTAGTTGCATATAGTGTTAACACTTTCAGACTCTTAAACTCTGCAATAAAAATGTGTTAGGGCACTCATCAGCACCCCCAAATGGTCAATTCTGAACTGTTTAGCTATGTGCTCCACATACATGCTTGTTAATTTAAACACAAGACACAAAAATAGAGATGAGTTAAATGAAGTACAACAGCCTCAGCAGAAAGGCACAGTGAAAACCCTCATCCTTCTGTTCAGAGTGGCTCTGACAGGACCTAAGAAATGCACAGAACAAGAACAAGATACAACACTTTATCAGAGGGGTAGGAAAAAAGCTAACAATGATTGTCCTAAAACTAGCTGCAAAGGAAAATGACATTTCTAAACAAAGTGGTAACTACCAGATCTGGATATTAATAGCCTCAAGGTAGTTTTTATCAATATTAACTGTACTTGTTACAATAACATGATAAACAAATAAAAGGGGAGAACAGAAGGTAATTGTTATAAGTAATAAATTCCAGTACATCTATAGAGAAATCATTTCTGCATATACTTTTACTATTTTTCAAATTCCATTTAATTATAGCTTTCTAATATTAGACTAAAAATGGCAGCTCAATATTTATAGTAAAAATTCCTAATTCATTTCTGAATCTGACATCAGCAACAGTGACACAGTAACATGTTTCATAAACCTCTGATAAAGAGACCATTTTAAATGACTCAACAAATGGGTGACTATCTACTCAATAAGCAAATTTTACATCAATTTTAACAAGCTAGGCACAGCATCAAATGACATTTGCTTCTAAAATCATTTTAATAGGAATACGCTACTATTTTAGCAAAAAAGACGACTGAGGAATATACTGTATACCCATAAGGAAATAGTGCCAGCAGATATGCCACAAACCAATCAACGTCTGTGCTGGCAGCAATATACACTGGAGGTCTACTGAAGGCCAACAGTTCTGCTTAGGGTAATTCCAGGAATGCAATCGGTCATTATTTCCATCGGGTCGGTCCTCCAGTGACGTGTTTTCATTGCAAAATAATAAATTAGTTCCTTATGTGCAACAAATACATCTATACAAGTTCCAAGGTTCCCAATTTAAAATCACTGGATATGCAAGCAAGTCTTCTATTCACTTACAATAGAAATCGTAGCTTCCAGAATATTTAAAGCATTAACTGTAACTGAAATACGTGCCAACAGTTTCTTCAAACATGCCCAGTCAGAAAAACATGACACAGTTAACTCCTTACTGTGTTCTCAATCAAAAAAAAAAAAAAAAAAAAGGAACTGGAATTTTTCTAAAATACTAGAAATTTAAAATCATGCAATCTTGATTTCTACAACAGGAAGAACTATCCAGTTAGACACCATCATGTGTCTGGACTCAATTATTCCATTGAATATAAACATTCAGCTTTATAGAACACCCTTGTGTATTATCAGGATGAATCATTCATTTACTTTGCCAAAGTTTTAAAGATATTTAAAGTGTTCAGATATCAAATTGTAACCTGGTTTTGTATGAGGAACTCATGTTTGCAGAGTCAAGTGCAAGAGGCAGGTGGAATTTAAGTATGTAAGCAGGTCAATGTTTCTTCAATGTATACCCTATATATGGCAGTAACAAAATTCCTGCAGTTATAATCCAACCAATCTTTTGCACCAGTATTCCATGGCTAGGAATTTCTATAGCCGACCAGGAAATACTGCCAATATACTGGTTATTTCTACTTTTATTTGGGGGCCTGGGAATATATTGTTTGTGTATTTAACAGTATTGTGTAAATAACCAGTTTTATTCTTTTGTTGACATTTCCTGCTTTCAGAAACTAGTTGTGTGCTGTATCCTGTAAAGAACTCGCATGCATACTTGTTCTCGGATCACACCTCAAGTAGGATACTGTATTAGAAACCTACAGCTGGTACATATGCTACGTCAGCAAACACTTTTCACATAAGCATATTAAAGCATATTAAAAGCATCCCTTGTGAGCCAAGCACACTACAATAAAAGTGCAATTGTTCTGCATCTATACCAAAGTCTCTACTGGCATCAATACTTCTGTCAGAATCATGTTTTTACATGCCTAATCGACAGAACTGTGCAAACTAAACATTTTTAAAGATTTGCTGTTTGAGTCTTCTAACTTTTCAGCTTACACTCCAACTTCTCTACACCAAATACTGCAGATCTTTTACCCTACACAGAAGCTGCTGAACTGTCATCAGCATTCTAACCTGTGGAGAAATGTTCTGCTATAACAAACCAACCTCTCCCAAACATTACAAAAAAAAAAAAAAAAAACACAAAACTGTAAAAAAAAAAAAAAAAAAAAAAGGGTCATAGCCTGGATAGACAGACGCAGGGGCAAGCCAAGTGATGGATGATTCACAGGCTAAAAAAGGGTCAAAATGACAGAGGCTGGCCAAGATACTTGTTTCTAAAGCTCAATGGTTTTATATTGCTAAATACAAAAATTCCCACTAATAAATAAAGCAAAGTTGGTACCAGAAGTAAACCAACAGTGTTACTTTCACATTGCTGTAGTAGATGAAGAATATGCTACATGCCTGAATGAGGAAATAAAAAAATGTTTCTCTTGTGAGCAACCAGAGAAGCTCTCTTCAGTTACTGTACTCAGGCCAAGATCCTGATCATTAAGCATGTTTAAAGAAAAATGTTCTACACACCTGTTGATGTAGTTCTCCCCATGTGTTGCTGGTAGCCAAGTAGAGTGAGAAGCACATTGTCTTACTCTGTCCTGCAAATACGACCCATCAAAACAGACAACAAATGATGCTAGCTAAACACAACTGCTACGGTCAACCTAACAGGCCCTCCAAACTTTAATATGTGCAAGCCATAGTATGACTTGCTGTAAAGGGAAATAGCATGTAATTAAAATCCCAATCATATTCAATGAAAACCTATAATTTCCTGCATCACTAAAGACTATCTGTTAGCAGTTCAGGTTTAACAGAGATTTAATGAACACGTACTGCAAAACTTCAGCCAACACCTGAAATGAACATGTTTATAAAATAAGTTTCCGTGCAACTGAAAAGTTTAATAAATATCTCCATGGGGTATTTCAGACAATTTCAAATGCAAGGAAACATTGGGATTCTTTTTTTTTTTTTGAACAGAAATAATTTAAATTATAGTCATAAGAATCCTTTCAAATTTTGCATTATGCCTTCTGCAAAATACTCTGTCTTCAAAAGTGCAGGTTTTTGTAGACACTCATTGCTTATGTATTCCTTCCCCATCACAGTTGGTATTTTCTACCCTCCCATGCCCCCTTATGGTTAGTGGTCTTATCCAAAGAACAGTAGCAGCAACATCTTCCCTTTTTGCCTTTCAAACCGCAGAGCTCACATACAAAAGGGATAATATATCATCTTAGTCATCCAGTGTGTAAGATGAATATAAAAATTAAATGTCACAAGAAGATGTAGGAAGCTCATTTGAAAAGATGTACTATTTAAGACTCTTGTAATACTGTGCTTATTGTTTTTTAAAATACCATTTGCTCTCACACAAAGGATGCAACAAACGTTTCTCTTGACACTGCCCTAAGACTGCAAGGGGATGACAGCGAACGCAGTGTAAAACCAACAAAGGATACAAGTAAGTAAATGGATATGGATACTGTAACATGCAAACTCTACAAAAGGCTTTGAATATAAAAATTGAATATACAGAGGACAACAAGGGATACAGAAATAACATTTTTATCTATTAACATCTTTCATATCTCCTATGGAAAGTCTTCTAAACTTTTGCCTCTGACAGGACAGGTTAATAAATCGAAGTATCTTCAGGTAAACACTGAATATACAACACAGCCTATAAGAATCTCTCTAGACTTACCCGTTTGTATTTGCTGTAGAGACGTACCCATATTAAATAAGCTAGGCAGTACAAGCAAGAAAAGGAAAATATATACCTCAACATAGTCCGCAGTTTCCCCAGCTTGCAATGAAATATATTTAAGTTAAATAGCTTAACTTGAAGAAACTTCTGTTCTCACAATGCACATCTGATGACTGTGGAAGTCAACATTTTATACATTATTGATTTTTTGATTCTGTTAACATGTAAAACATCCAGAAAAAAATTGAAATTGAATTGAAATGTAAATGAATTTGGGCATAATATGATTCCTAGGACAAAAACAGTTAAAATATGTCAGGAACATTCTTCCTACTAGCTCTGAGGTGTATTGTCTTCTAATGAGCCATGATGATTTTTACATGTAAAAAGAAAAAGCTGTTTTCTGACAAACACAGCACAGAAAAGAGAGAAACATTTTGGGTCTATCTGGGATATCACAGATGATTCAGCAAGACCACTGCAGTGTCAGTCTGCACTGAAGTTTTAATCATAGGGATTAGCTATTGCCAAATAGCATCTTTTCAACAAGACTGCATCAAAACAGGAACAAATCTGGGAAAACCCCAGTTTCTAGTCAGACAAACATAGAAACTGCTGCATTTTACATAGTGATACCATTTTTTTTCCACACTCTCCTCCCCCCCCCCCCAAACAGAAGATGACAAAACAAATAAAAAAAAAAAAAAAGCAAACTGGGTGGAACTCAAGTTAAAGCTCCAAATGTCAATCCCATTTTCTGCAGTTCCTTTGTGAGAAGGAGAAAAAAAAAGTGCTCTAGTACATACACTGGTTTGGCTCAGTATTTGCTATTTCAGTAACTCTTCAGATTGGGGAAGATCCTTTTGTGCTATGCAGTTTTAACAGACTACCTAGCAGCACAAAACTACTCTTTGCTACAGACCAAATTGGAAGCCAACCAAAATTTTGCAGTATATAGGTAACAATGGTAACAAAACTGGATTCAAAGCTGTATTTGTTATATGTATCCGAATATTCCTGTCATAAAGAATTAGCACAAATAAGAAATGAATAATAGTTTATTAACATTTATGACAGATAGGACAAGCCATAATAGACTTAAACTGTATTAAAGGAGATAGAGTTTCTCTCATTATTTAAAATTATAGCTATACAAAAACTGCAGTAACAGATTGCCTAAAGCAATTATATAATCACCACCACTAGAGTTTTTATAAAGAGGATTAGAAAAAATAGTAGCTAGGAGTAACACAGAGTATACATGACCCCGCCAGAAATACTCCAGTGCAATTGTAATATCAAACGTGGGCACTTCCAGATATTTCTTCTGCATGACTTTCTCTTTTGAAAGCAATGGTTCTAAAGATTACATTTAACATGGCCAAAGCATTGCAGTCAAATTCACAATGCTCTACACTTAAAAAATGAAATAATATGGATTAATAGCATTCCAAGACAAGCTCAGTTAAGAACAGAGAATATAACACAGGGAAATTACGCAGAAAGAATACAAAAACAGACAAAAAAATCAGGGTATTAAATCTCTGTGGAACTTGCTGCTGGTAGAACAACTAAAAATTTAATAGAGGGGAAATCTCTATAGAAGATACCAGAAGTAAAGATACCAGGAAAAAAAATGTTACCAGAAGTAAAGATACCAGAAAAAAATTGTTTTGAATATTAGTTGAATATTAGTTGAATAACTTTTAACTGTCTACTCAAAATAATTTGCTTTCAGATTTACCTACTTGTCTGCTCTGTGTGTGTTTAAGTGGATCAGTGTACTGCGAGGAAATAGATATTGAAGCTGTACCCCCACTGCCAAAGGAAACAGCGTACCTATACGCACGATTTAATAAAATAAAAAGGATAGCAGTCTCAGATTTTGCTGACATTAGTAAGTAATTTGTAACAATAATGTGTTTGTTGTTGTCCTTTAATATTATGCCAAAATAAGATATACTTTATATTTTGCTAGGTTATGCAATGTGTATTACTTAATTCAGTGCTTGTGCTAGAAGAGGAACTGTGAAGACAATATGGATAACCCGCTTTGGCCCACGTATCTATTTTAATCAAGCAACAGGGTGCTAAAAGTCAAATTTGATCGTCCCCTGCCCAGTCTTAACTGACCGTGTACATTTCTTTCCAGTGCTCCAGAGATCTCTCCCACCCACTTCACTCCATGACACTGCAAATTCTACCAGGATCTACAATCATGTTTTCTCTATGCAAACAGGAATGATCACATACGTGTGTATCTATATATAGTCTCAATAATGAGGAAAGCCAAGCGTGGATTTAATTCACATTTTGTGATCTACAAATATAAATACTAACAGGATAGTGCAGCCATTGTCATTGTAACATCTAACAAAACCACGCATGTTTAGTATGCTACGCAACCATAAATTTGATACTTAGATTTCTATTTCTTTTATGTATAGCTACTTTGAGAAGAATTGATTTTAGTGGAAATAGGATAGAAGAAATTGAAGACGGAGCCTTTGCAAAGCTTCTGTTATTGGAAGAACTTTCTCTTGCTGAAAATCGGCTTGTAAAACTTCCTGTTCTACCTCCCAAACTAACAACATTTAATGCAAACCAAAACAGAATCAAGAGCAGAGGAATCAAAGCAAATGCTTTCAAAGTAAGTAAAAGATGACAAACTAGGCAACCAAGGTAAATAAAAGGAGTATACCGTCACTGGGATTTTCTTGTGTTTTTGTGATCAAAGAAACAAACTAGGAGAAAGCAGCTTTTCAGGGTTTTTGTTTTTAAGGCACTCTGGAATAATTCTCCTATGCACAGTGGCGCACTCATGTAGTAGTTCATCTAAAAATTCTTGTCTTTAAGATATAATCCTACCTACTTCCTTTCTCTCTCACACACGAAGGAATAGTGGATTCAAAACTAATGGCTCAAATACAAGTCTGTGGATGACATAAATGCTATTAAACAAGGATATATATTTATAGTGGTGTCCAGTTTTTATAACCAGTATGCCAACACTGAAATTTCCAGCACATAGAAGGCCTATGACCTTCTTGGTACAATAGGATTCAACATTCACAGCAAAATATTTCCTGTTAGATCACTTTATAGGCTTTCTCTGCAATCAGAAAAATATACATGGCTTACAACAGACACAAGAGTAAGCAATATCAGCAATGATTCTCTCTTTCTTTCCAATAGAAGCTGACAAATTTGGCCTACCTCTACTTGGGACATAATGCACTGGAGTCTGTTCCCCTGAACTTACCAGAGAGTCTGCGTATTCTTCACCTTCAGGTATTTCTGAACTATTTCCTTAACTTTTTATTATAAAAAGACCTAGCTGCACAAACCAATCCCCATTTCCTTCTAAAACAGTTTAAACTGCAGTTGTGCTACAGTTGTCTAGTGCTCCTCCACATAAAACGATTCAGCTCTCATTTGTTTGGCCACAACCAGTGTTCAACATGCACATCCTCATTAATACACAGGAGGAGAAAGTAGTTAAGACTTGAAATAATTCTCTAGAATAAAGCAAAATTTAAGTACCCTTACTGTCAGAAGCTCTTAGCTAACTATCATGCAAAAATTTCTTTTACTTGGTGTACAAAAGCTAATAAGAAATGGTAAAAAAAAAAAAAAAAAAAAAGCAATCTTTTGTCAACCATACATTCCAAACCTCAAATTGTTTATCAGTTCATTGATTGGTTTGAAGAGGCTTGATTCCTACCTATCTTTAACACAATCCCAGTGACAATAAAATGAGTGGGGATAATAATAATATTACAGTTTGGCAATTCTCTAACTTACGTCTGTGTATGCGTGTGTGCATGTGTATTTACTTAACAATGAAAATTTGTTTTGTTTTGCAGTACAACAACATTACTACAATCACTGACGACACATTCTGCAAGTCGAACAACACACGTTACATCCGCACGCGTATGGATGAGATACGGATGGAAGGCAATCCGATCCTCCTGGCAAAGCACGTTAATGCTTTTTCCTGCTTGAGAACATTGCCTGTAGGGACATACTACTAGTCACTACTTACATAATTATACATGCCAAAATTCAAGCATGGTAACAGAAGATCATTCTTATTCCTGTTTATATCCTCTCTTTTGCTAATGCAGTTTTCCCTGCATACCCTGAACTTTTTCCTGTGTTGAAATTGAGTTCTCCTCTAAAATAACTATTTCAAAACATCCACTTAATTTAGGAGTTACAATGCCACCCATGCTTTCAGATTTTGTTGATGAAAGCATAAAAATGTGTGTACATATGCATATGGTTTCAACTTCTAATTCACTACTTATTCTTTACATGTAGGGAAAATCATGAAACTGCTTTTTCACATTCTTTATCAATTTCCAGGACAATCACCACATTTTGCTTTCAGATAAACACAAACATTCTTCAAGCAAGCTACAGAGGAAAAATAAATTTTAATTCCAATCATACTCGCTTTGATCTGAAATTAAGCTTTTTCAGCTGACCTTCAAAAGTGCATGGAATGAAGTTGCATATGAAAGAAAGTTATGTTTAGACACAGAACTTAACAATGTTTAACTTTATTAAAACTTCCTTGAAAACTTCATTAGTGGAAAATGAGAAAAATTCTTATCTAGGCTTAGTGTACCTAGCAACAAGGCAAGCAGAACATTCAAATGTGTCAAATGTTCCTTTAGTATTTTTCTTTAAAAAATAATCTAAATACAGTTATAGATATATATTACAATTGAATGTATACGTATATACGCATTCAATTGTATATACTACATATAAATATTTTTACACATTTTTGATGGAAATATAATATATATACACACACACATCTTGTTCAGCTGTGGTCATATGAGTCAACTTTATCTTCCCATTTAAATACAATGCTCAGCATACAGCATGGTATGACAGAGTACCTTTGTTATTAAGGCATGATATAAACTGAGCCTTGTTCACCGCTTTTTCTTGACAGGAAATGTGACATATAATTAACAGCAAAGCTGAATTAATGCTTTTTACCTCTAAACGAGCAAGATTTCAACTAGCAGTCAGTACAAAGAAACAGAAATACCTTTGTACAGAAACACATTCACTCATTAGACAAAAATCACATTAAATCTTCAAAAAGAAAAGCTGATTCTATCACTGATCTAAAAATAGTGCTAACCCTGAGCAAATGAAACTAGCATCATTTCACTCAAGAACTTTATAACAATCTATTGAAAAGAGAAAACTACGTGTGCAGACCTCAATCCATTTACTAAAACTGGACATAATGTCTTTCAGAACACAGGGTTTCTAATTACACAAAAATACATTTCTTCTAACTTGGTTTCTTCCCTCAAATACCTACCACAGGCTTAAACTCTTCAAATAAACAAATGCCAAACAAGTGCTAGTATTATTACCGGATCAACTTCATACTAACTTTGAAGCTAGTGTAGATATCTAATTCGTAGAACTAGTTAAGCACCAAATGCATGATGTATTAATACCACCTAGAATACTGATTTTTTTAAGGTATTTTGTATTAATTATGTCTATCTTATTTAGCTAAGCCTTGATTTGTTAGCGCTTGTGCTCTGGGGAATTATTAATAAATTCAAACTTAATTTTGAACATACTGATGCTCTGTCACTAAGAGTGTTGAGATCTACGAAACTGTAAGTCACTTTTTAAGGTTAAGTGACTATGTCAGGAATCAGCTGTGGGTTCATCATTCTGAAAAGAGTATACAAATATGAAAAGCAAGACAAGTATATTTTTGCCCTGAACCCATTACTCAAAAAAGGCATAGCAATCCCCAATTTTCCAGTTTAGATTATTTTAACAACAAATTCCATTGTCTTACTGCATCTGAGAACAAGAAGTCCTACAGCAAGAAAAACATTTGATTTTCATTTTTCCCATCTAAATCATACAATTTTGATATTTCCAGGTGTTCAGCAAAAAGATAAACAGCCCCAAAGCATATCAAAATACATTCCATTTTCAATCCAAATTTAGACCAGGAAAAAAATAAAAGCCAGCAATTCTCTCATCCCCATTTGATAAGATGAAGTAAACACAAGTTAGAAGCCTAAGTAGTGCCTCTGATCTTATTCTCATTACAAGTCATTACTACTAAATAAAGCTCTTTGTAATATTAATGGAGTCAATACATTTCAAAATTATTCCTATTATTTCCCTGTGAAAACAAGCATGTGCATACATATGCATAAACACGTGTATGCACATTTATGTAATTCATGCACACACAAATGCTAAGATCTTACTACTACCACATCATTAATTTTACATTAGGTTGTTGTATATATTTTTGAAAAGGTACTAGACATCAACAAGAATTCTAATTTAATGCTCTTAATATTTCGTGAGCACACCACAAGTAGACAACTGGTATCTTCTGAAAGCCCCACACAGACAATAAATTATCTGATATATTTTAATTTACTTTTCCCCATTCACAGCACGAGAAAACATCAAAAGTTTTAAGTTAGAAGGGCTATACTATGCAAGATTTTTTGCCTTCTCTTTTTGTGACCTGTATTAATATCAAGCTGAATGTACACTGTTTTTTCCCCATCACTTATTTCTAGTCTGTATTTCCAATAAAACTTGAATTTTTTTTCTTGTTTATCAGCTTGAATAATCTGCTCTTCCAACAATGCCTACATACTTGAGTTATGCAGTCTCATAGCAGACTATGGGTGTGCCTAGATCAGAAAATTATTTGTAGCTGTAAATCCATTTTCTAAACATATTTATTGTGGCAATGCAGCAAGACCTGCCATACAAGTAATATTATATGACTATCATGGGGGGGGAGGGGGAAACAAAACACACTAAGCTAGGACTTCTGGGACACTTCAATCACCTCTTCAAAATTTATTTAAAGCACTACCTTGTAGATTTTTTTCTGCAGTAGAAGACAGGAGTAGCAGCAGAAGGTAGTAAAGGTATACTGAACTCTTTTTCTTGGTGTGTGTGAAGCATGCATATTGCAGACTAACCTGTTTCAGTAAAAATCCACAACTGCTTAGGCTCAAAGGCAGGGAATGTATAATGTAGAGCACAATTTGTTTATAACTGAACATCGTTCTATCCAAACCTACTTAAAGCTGCCCCTGCTCTCTAGAATAGCCTACTTATTGTCAAATATATATGACAAGCAGCTTTTTTGCTTAATCCAAGTTATTTGTCCCACAATTATTCTCTTTAACTGCAAAAACGCACTACAAAACTGCTATTTTTGATGATCAACTTTGCAAATTGCAATAGTCATTCATCTCACATCTCCATTACTACTGAATTATCCATTCACTTCTACTTTATTGCTTCCTTCTCAAGTACCAGAGCTAATAGAAAGGGGGGAAGAAATCCACCTTTCCTGCTTTTAATACACTATGCTATGACCAAACTATTAGAAGCACCGCCTATTTCTACCTAATAGCCTGGGTAATTTTCTTTTCAATAATTAATAATAAATATAACCCCCCCCCCCAAAAAAAAAAAAAAAAAAAAGAGTCTTCTCTCCAATACTGTTTCCAGTTAGCTGGATGTATACTTGAAGTCTATCAAGCTGGTAGTAAGAAAAAAAATCCAAAGTTTAATATTGTTATTGAAGTGCAAATATTTACAGGGTAAGACTATTCGTTTATTTTATGCAGATGTTAAAAGCCACTCCTAGCCACTTTCACTGAATTAAACACAGGATATTGTTACAAATGCATATAGTACCCTTAGCATCCAGCTTTGAACACTTGGAACTGTCAGATTTGATCCACCATGCCTTTGTTAATTCTCTCATCTCAGAAAGCCTTCTACTTCTACTAAATGAAATTATTACTAATGCTGACATAAATAAGGCAACCTAAGAATATCTTCATAGGACCATATTCAATCATATTCTCCCAAGTTCGTCTGCTTTTCTCATCACTATCCTTGTCAATTAAAAAAGTAACTTTAGGAACAGTATTTGTAACATTGATGTAAACCAGTAGTATACAATATATGTATGGAGATACATTGACTTAAGACATAGATACATTCTATATGAAATACCACTATCCTTTACATTCAGAGACTGACCAAACCATTTTTAGAACTGCTTCCTTAAGACACACGTGACAATTTAAAATACTATCTCCTATTTTTTAAATGTTTGTACTGAGTTTTAAAATGAGGAATATTTACATTGTCCCAGAAACCACAGTGGCTACTGTCATGAGGCTGATCTAAGAATTAGTGAAGCTGGCTAAAAAAAAACAAGAAAACAAACAAACAAAAAAGCACACCATAAAACCATGAAGCCCTCTGTGCTCTCTCTACCTTGTCAGTCTCTATTTCACTATTGAATGATTAGTCTTTATACAACAACCAGCAGGATTAGACAACATCAATTTACACTCAGCTGAGGATAGGATTCTTTTTTAAAACATCATCAGAACTGACCAAACAGATTAAAGAGAATGAAAAATATTAATCCAGCACAGTACTCTGAAGAACCTAGAAGATTCAAAATATAGGAATCAAAGCAGGCCACACTTCATAATACAGCTAAAAAGCAATGAGGGTGCTGAGTTGAAGGACAGTAAATGCTTGAGCTAAATAAAACTGAGCTAAAAGAATAAATAAAAACAATTAAGTAGCTAAACATTGACCTGTAATACTAACCACTCAATCACAGAAGATGTTCTGTGTTTGCATGACTGCTGTATTTTCACTTTGAAAAAGTTACTTACCTTAAAACCAGTACAAAGCTAACAAGCCAAGTAACATTAATTTAAAACTAAATTGAGATAGTATTTTCCACTTAAAAGGGAGGCACAGTTTATTTGCTCTTCAAGTGAAATATTGCAGAACTGGAAGTGCTGTCACCCAAACACATGTCGTCACACTTTCAAAAGAGACAGATCCAGTCTTTCAGAATGTTTAAATGCCAAAGACCACAAATGTTATTTTCTTCTGGTTTCTTACCCCCCCTTCCCCTTTTTTTTCACACCCAAAATGAAATGCAATGGCAATAAACAACCATTTTACTCCTCCAGAAAGAAGACACTGATATTCTTATTTTCTTCTACATATGAGGACAGGAGCATTAGCATGGTAAAAAAACAACAAAAATACCAATCATGGGCACTGCCCCTTGAATACAACACAAACATCCTCACCTAATATTCTCTACTGAACACACAAAAGTAAGATTCACAGACTCTGCTGAAAAGCTAATTTCTTCTTCATTGCTCCATCTTGATGAACCACTTAAGAACCAAATGGAGAATTTATATAGAAAAGTTCAATAAACAGTACCTTGAAATGTAAAAATGTACATCTACGATGTTCATACCACTCAGCATAAGACGAAAGGCTTCTAAAAAACAGCAGAAGATTTCTGTGTTTTTCAGTGCTGTAAAAGAAAAATATATTATTTATCCTAAACAGTACTAGTCAGAAGTATCAATTCTATAGCCTAAAATTTGCAATTTTACCTTTAAGAATTTGTGACTAGTATTGTTTGATTTTTGAAGTCAGAATTCACCAAAAAAAAAAAAAAAGACGGGAAATATATGTACTTAATTGGAAAAAAAAAAAAAGAACTACATGCTTTAAAATCCTCAAAAGGTACAAAATTAGTCATGTATGTAATATGTGATAACTCAGTAAAGTAGTCCTCCTATAAAAATCTTAGTTTAACTTTATGCTTGTTCATCTAATACTCTATTTTCTGAATAAATTCCAAGGTATCGTATAGATAAACAGTAACCTGAAAAAATGGTAAGATTAACCAAATTACATTATTAGGTACTGAATGGTCTTGTGATATTTGTTCTAATCAACTACATCTTTACATGATATTTATTATTGGCCTCTGCCTGCATGATATTCAGCTTTTCAAAATTAACCTTGAAATATGGAAAGCAAGAAAGTCTGCTCATTAGATGATGCATGGCAAATTTGATTTAGAAATAAGTGTTGATATACAGTTAAATCTTGAGTCATCTCCCATTAAGGAAAATAGTGATTTTCAATAATCAGTGCAGTAGGGCAGGATGAAGAAAATTGATGCAGATAAATCCATGACTGAGAAATGGACTGCAGAGATATTGGTGCCAGGCACTTTCTAAGCAGAGACTAATTAATCTGGATGGAGCAAGCTGATTCTGGCAGAACTCCCCTCGGTATTTCTGCAGTTTTGGACTCTCGCGTGGTTTAACAGTTCATCTAATGAGCATGGATATACATGGATACAACATGGCTTTATTCACCCAAATGATCCCATGCTTGCACTAAATTCTCTTGGAAGCTGATGATCTACAAAGAGCAGTGCAAAGACACCTTTGCTAGATGTTCAAATAGCCAGAATGGATTCAGCAGTGCTTACAGTCTATATTATGAGACTAACAAATGTTGCTTTGGCAAGGTAATATTTCAATGGCAGCATGCCATTGCAAATAATGAGTTTTTCACCCATAAAGCCTCTGGAAAGAGGGAGATCAGCAGTAGTCATTTTACTTTCTAGCAAGTCTGAGGAATTTTCAATACAGGAGACAAAGCATATGAGAATTAAAGAAAAGACCCTATTGCTTTGGCTTTGTCATTTTCAGAGTAATTTCAACAGCATCAAGTACAAATGTTCAAGTACAATGATTCCATGCTTAGTAAGAGTATTTTCCATTTCTGCTGACCATAACTACCAAACAGAAGAAGCTTTTCTACTTCAATGACTAGCACTGAAGTTATTTCCTTTGTTACACCTTTACTGCTACATCCTCCAGCAAAACTGTGTTAGTCTGTATGGCAACTAAGATGCATATAAGCAAAATGTCTTTGGTAGGACACCATTACACATTCCTTCTGTAACAGCCCAGAAAGACAGTGAAAATAAATCAGTAATGCGCAAAAGCTTGCCTCAGAACAATTGGAATTAGAACCAACTGGATTAAGATCTGAACACTTATGGTAGGTGCCATCACACAAGTAGAGAGTTTCTGCTTATAAGGAACCTGAACAGACCTTTTTACCCTCTATTGTTAACAAAGTGAAGGTGACCATTAGAGCTGAAAAGCTGTACACATGCTTTAATCAAAAGAGAAAATATAATAATATATAATAATGCATCCACTTTACAGGGAATAATTGTACTAAAGACAAACTAGTGAAAATAGGTGGAGAGCTGGTTTGGGGAGAAGGTGAGGTGGAGGTGTTTGTCTCGGGATAAAAATCATTACTCTTCAAATTTCTAGTAATGTAAGGAAAAAGAAGGAATATAGGAAGACAGAAATTGCTGAATCACCAACCATCCATCCTGCATGGTCAGGGTGGTGGGAAGGAGGAGGGAACACTCAAAGAACATGCAGTTTTGACTAAAGAATCCTGGCAAGGATGCAATATTCCCCAAAAGCTAACAAAAGCCGAGTGTCTGAACACCTGAAGCAAGAAGATTCTGTAATTGTAAGGATGAAAAGCTTCCCATCATCATTCATGTGAAGCCATGGTAGACAAAATAGAATATTAGTCATTGTCAAGTCATACTTGTCAAGTGCTGCCTTGAAAATAAAGGTTTATTTCAGTTACCAGTATAGGATTTTACAAATCTTGCGTGGGAAAAATTTAGAAATACCTGACAGACACTTGAGAGT